CTCTTATCCACTCGTTTCTCTTCTTATCCATTAGTCTTATGTGCAACATTTGTCTTTCCATTGCTCTTTGGGCTTTTATGATTTTGTCCATGTTTGCTTTTGTAGATATCCATGTTTGGGAACCATAAGTAAGAACAGGGAGTACGCATTGATTATATACTTTGGTCTTAAGATACTGTGGATATCTTTTGTTTTTAAGAATGTAGCTTAGTTTGCCAAATGCCGCCCATGCCAGTCTAACTCGTCTCTTGATCTCTGCTGTTTGGTTCTCTTTGTTAAGTTTTATAGTTTGACCAAGATATATATATATATATATATATATATATATATATATATATATATATATATATATTCCTTAACTTGTTCTATTTCATCTTGTCCGATTCTCATTGTGATGTCCTTCATCTGTATTTGTTATAGTTTTGGTCTTGCTGTAATTCATATTAAGGCCTATCTTTCCAGCTTCTACGTCCAGTTCTTTCATCATTTCAAATAATTCTTCTTTTTTATCGGTTATCAATACGATGTCATCAGCGTACCTTAGATGGTTCAAGCGTTGTCCACAAATTTTTATACCTTTTAATCTTACAACTAGTATATCTTTATTTCTAAAAAATTACGACTGATACTTATCTAGGGGAAGTCCTAAAATTTCTTGCGACAGTCCTCGTCTTATATTTATAGTGCCTGTTACAAAAGTATTTTTTAATATTAGAAATTGAGCCAAGCGGACAGACAAATACCAGCTATCCACGATTACTTCGCGACCTTTTTCCAATATATTTCGCATCAGGAAAACAACTATTCGCTCAGTCACTGATAATGATGCTATGAAATCATATATCTTTCCCAATATACAGTTCGAAGTTAAATCTATAACCCCTCATTTTTGGTTCGCAGGGGCATAAACAAAATAATGCAAGTCATGCAACCCTTGCTTTTAAATGAGAGCCAAATCAATATCGTAAATTCCGTGAAATTTCTAGGTATTCTCATTGACAGTGATCTCAAATGGTCCTTGCATACTGACTCCTTAAGGAAAAAACTAGCCTCAGCTTGCTTTGCAATAAGATCTGTTTCGAAGGAACTAAATTTATCTTCTGCCAAAATGGCATATTTCTCATTGTTCGAGTCCCATCTTCGATATGGGCTTCCATTTTGGGGTTCTAGTACAGCGGCCCAATTTGATACTATTTTTAAGTTGCAAAAAAGAGCAGTCCGTTATCTATTTGGTCTCAAACAAACAACTCATTGCAAGACCTACTTCAAAAATCACGGAATTTTTGACGCTTCCCTCTTTATTTATTTTGGAAACGGTTTGTTTGATTCGAAAGCATCTAAACATTTTTCCCGATAGACCTGACCATGGCTACTCCATTTAGAAATTCGGATTGTAACGTTTATTTGCCGATCCCGTCCACTCAGCTAGTAAAGAATTCTATTCTATATCGTGCAAAGAAACTTTATAATCACCTTCCAAGAGAAATTAAATCCGCAACATGCTTCATTAAGTTTCGTAAGGTGACAAAAAATCTATCTCTCAGAAAGACCATATTATTCAGTTGACGAGTTTCTTAATGTATAACAAAGAAACAAAATTAGTATTGTTTATAATTACATTTGGGTGTCTCAAGCAGTGGCTACAATTTGTCTCATTTGTTGTTGTCTGTACAAATTATGTAGGTTATACAATAATTTTAACTAATTTAAAATTGTGTTATTCTGTTTTTTACTATATTTGTTTTTGTTTTATACTTTTTGTACTATTTGACTGATTTATTTTTTAGCTTTGTCCATAAAATTGTTTCAATAATTTTCAGTGACAATAAAGCACATTTCTATTCTATTCTATTCTAATTTTATTCCAAATCTGGACCTTTTTGTTTTAATACATTGCTTGAAATGCAACCGGCCTTTGACTGCATAAGACATCAATTGCGCATGTTTCACCTATGTCGATTAGAAGTGTGGTATTTTCACGTAACAGCCCAAAAAAACAGCTAAACGCGTCAGCGGTCTTGATTTTTGTAAAGCTCCTGGAGGACCGAATATCAAAAACTTTTACAATTCCGAAAAACCTACAAGAAACAAAAATAAACATCTATGGTACAAAAATAAAATCTACATTACTCACTTGTGTGCTATTCATAGTTTTTCCAGAAAACACCTTAGGTCCTCCTAATAGGAAGGATTTTCGCCAATAGTCATGCATTTTAGGTAAGTGAGTTACCCCCATCAATAATAAAAGACAAATAAAAACATGTTTCTTATACCGAAACATCCTTCCATATTAGACCATAAATTTTGTGAAACAAATTTTCACTTTCCTTAAAATATAGCACGCTCGTTGGTCAAGTCACAAAGACTTCAAAGCATTCTCTGGCGGATTTCTGAGAATCAATATATATATATAGCAGGGTCAAAATCATCAGGAAGTTCAACACGATTCATTGGAGAATATCTTTGGTCTCCAAATGGATTTGAAATAACTTTCCAATCCCCGAATTGTACTGGTTCATCATCTTCCTCCTCGTCTGTAGTTGAATAATCACTTTTTGAATTTATATTATCGTCAGAACCTTCGTAATCGAAATCTAGGTCAGATTCGAAGGTAATTCGGACGCAACAAACATACCTTAAATATGATGCAGGCGGTGGCATCGCCTTATATGGCGAACGAAAACTCATGATGCATCCGTGTGCAATACCATACTGGGCGGACAGTCAAGCATGATGCACACGGGTGCATTACCGTATCGAAGGGGATAATTTAATTCCATCAACTGGAGTATTTCCCGAAGTACTAAAATACTCAAAAGTACTACCTACCTACAAAAAAGGTGATTCCTCAAAAACTGACAATTACAGACTGATGAGCATTGTTTCTACTTTTGGAAAAGTGATTGAACAACAAAGTTATTCATATTTTGAGTCAAATAATTACTTAAGCAACTCACAATATGGATTTAGAAGTGCTCATTCTACTACGTACGCGTTATTTAATGTTGTGAGCAAGGTGGTTGAGGGGCTTGAACGCGGCAATTGCAAAGAAATTTCTCCTTGCCACTTGTCGAAGGCATTTGAATGCATTTTACCACATTTTGCTTTGAAAATTAAATTACTATGGAATTAGAGGTATCCCTCTTAAACTTATCATTTCTTATCTATGTGACAGATACCAAGCGAATCGGTCTTAGGATCTCTTTTGTTTATTTATGTCAACGATTTACCTAAATTCATATCTCCACAAAGTCGTACAATTCGCAGATGAACGACATACGTTATATCCGGAAAAAATAATGATGATTTAAAAATGTTTTATGAGGAAATTTCTACTAAATCTAGTTCATGGTTTTCTGCAAACAAACTAAAACTTAACCAACAATAAAACACTGAAAACTTGTGTTTTCAACACATTCACAAAATGTATTTTAAATTATTATTATAACTAGGTATAGCTATTTCGGCCAGAGCATTTGAGAAAGGCTGTCTTTACCTTTAAAACAAATCTTGAGTTTTGTCGATAGGACACTTGGATCAAAAGGTATCACATTTTTACCGTCGAGCTGATACAAATTTTATTAAACAATCATTTCGCGCACGTAACTAATATTCAAAATCGACGGTCGCTTCAAGCGTTGTTTGTGAGAAAACGGTTGATTCTACACAAAAAGTGCCAATAAACATTATTGTTCAATAACATTTTTGTTTAAAATTATGTCAGCTACATTTTTTATTTAAAACTTTTTTTCTACGACGTTTATGTTCTGATAAATCGAATTTTTTGTGTTTTTACCCCCCTACAAGGGAAGTTTTTTATTGGGAAACCCGAGGGTAAAAATGGCATCTTTTTGGGAGTCCCAAAATTATTATTCTCGACAAAATTCAGCTTTTTCGTATGATTTTTAGACTCTCTGTCGACTGTACTATTAACTATATTGTCTGATAGGTTTAAAAAACTGGGACTAAATTAGCGTCTTTTTTCGTTTTAAAATATCACAAAAAGTGCCGTATTTTACAACTCATTACTTTTCATAGAACTTTAAAGAAACTGGTATTTGTGTGTGTCATTTTATTTACTGTATGTGTTTTGTCTGTTTTTGAAAAATTAACAAAAATGTCTGACAATCCTTTCTCGTAAGTATTGACATTTTTAACACCAAAAGCAGTATATTGGGCTACGGGAAAAATAATTGATTTGAAATTCAGTTTATTTGAAAATGGTTTATTTAGTTATAAGACTGTAGTTAAATTTAACTAGAAATGATGACTTTTTAGGGATAACAAATTAAGGAAAGAGGAAAAGTGTTATATCCTGGCGATTAAACATTCTCTTTTTATTTTTCACTATTCGCATAGGTTTCCCAATTATTTTTTTAATTCCTTCAAAAAACTTTTATCTTAGATATACCAGTAACTATTCCCATTGCAGACACATCCCGTCTATGCGTCTCCCACCAAATCTTTTTGAACTTCGTCTTCAACTTCTTCCAGGAACTTGCAAATCAGAAATTCTCTATATTTTAAAGTTAAACACGGCCCAACTATTTTAACCTATGCTCTCACATTTGGGCATCAATTTGTGTTACTAGTATTATGTCTTATTACTGCTATTGCACTCTACATCCAACTTATTCTCACTCCACTCATCATCATCCTTCGCATGATGATTTCTCAAGATCTCAAGTACCAAATAGTTTTCGAGCCCTACAGTTTGTATATATTTGAACATTTCCTTTCTTTTTGCACACAGGTACTACAATACAGCTTATCTGGATCAGTTGGACAAAGGATATGTTAAGTTAGAGCAGTTGGGCCAGTGATAGTGATTTTTTTATGCTTGAGCAACTTCGTTTTTTCTTTCACCATATCGAGATATTTCGTCCAATATAATGTTTGTACCTGAATCAATAAAACTAGTGTCGATTGCTGAGGAATTTAAGAAGCAACAAAGAATTTTTTAAGTTTTACTAGAATTGTGAGAACTTTTTTTGTTCCAGATTGATACGAACGGCACCTACGAGTTCAACGCCTTCCCTCACCATGTCAACAAACACCAGTAGTACAGTAGTTAGGACGGTACCGAGGTGTGTTCCATTGTCTAGTAAACAGTCGTCGTCAGGACCTGTTCCTCTCACCACACAGTTAATGGCGACGTCAAGATATAGTAAGTGACACAAATAAATCAATCAACTACATAGAATGTTAACCTTAGATCATCTTCTTCATCTTGAATTCCTTAGTTACTTCTTTTTATTTCTTCTTAGATGTTTTTGTACATCCATGGTCTCATTCTGGGTATCTAAATCCATCGTATCTGAGTTTTTAAATACAACGCTGTTTTTGTATCGCACTTGTCTTCTGCTCTTTTATTTGTCTCATTTGGTAGGTGTAGTACTTCTTCCTTCCTGATTCCTTTCGTCTAGATATCTTCGTAGCACGATTCCAAAAGTTTTCCATTTTGTTCATGTATAAAAAGAATGGTACCACAAAAATTTTTGCTGTTTTATGAATAACTAAATAGTCACATCACTTCCTAATCCCAGTGCCCCAGGTACTGTATCCCTTATTCAGTTTTGTTTGGCATAATTTTAGCGACCATTAGCTTATCTTTTTTAATATTCTTCTTCTTCTTCAAGTGTCGTCTCCATCAATGGAGGTTAGCGGTTATAGTGGCAAACGTTTGTCTATCTTCAGCTGCTCTTAAGAGTTCCTCAAATCCAAGTCGTGTCCAGTTTCTGATATTACGTAACCAGGACAATTTTTTTCTTCCAATTCCTCGCTTTCCTTCTATTTTGCCTTTTATTATCAACTGAGGGATGTAGTATTTCTCGTTGCGCAACACATGCCCTAAATAACTGGTTTTTCTTCTTTTGACTGTTCTCAATAGTTCTTTTTCTAAATTGAGTCTAGCTAGTACTTCTTCATTTGTTTTTCGTGCTGTCCAAGGAATTTTAAAATTCTACGGTACACCCACATTTCAAATGCCTCGATTCTATTCAGGCTCTTTATTTTTAAAGTCCACGTTTCGACTCCGTAGAGAAGAACAGACCAGATAAAACATTTTACAAGTTTTAATCTCAATTTAATATTTATATGTGTATCGCAGAATAGAAACGCGCATCTTAAAGAAACTATCCCTAGTTTGAGCAATTCTCGCTTTAATTTCTTGTTCTGGGTCCAGCTTGCAATTAATCCAACAGCCAAGGTATTTGTATTGGTTTACCTGTTCTAAAATATTCCCATTTATTTTTATAGGTAAGGGGATATTCTGTTTTCTTTGGATCACCATTACTTTTGTTTTTTTTTTTCGTTGATCTTCATTCTAAACTCTCGACAAGCATCCTTAAGGTGGTCTATAACCCTCTGTAAGTTTGTATCTGTATCAGCCAGTAGGACAGTGTCATCTGCATATCTTATGCTAGATATTGGTTCTCCATTAATTTTTATTCCTGTGGAAAGGTTTTCCAAGGCTTGCTTGAATAGTAGTTCCGAGTAAAGATTGAACAGCATAGGGGATAGTATGCATCCTTGCCTTACTCCTTTATTTATACTAATATTTCTAGATGTATGATCGTCGTTTTAATATTCAAAAGGTAGAAATGTGTTTCTTTTTCAGCAAACGTTTCTCTACAAATTCTCAAACAACCAGAGCAGCAACACAGAGCCAGATATCAGACAGAGGGTAGTCGAGGGGCCGTTAAAGACAGAGAAGGAAACGGATTCCCTGTGGTACAACTCGTCAACTATTTTAAACCAGCTACGTTACAAGTAAGTTGGTATATTCTAAGATATTAACATAAGTGAAATAAGTCCGGCTGAGCCAAATCTGGTAAATTTAAGGGATGGTGCAACAGTTTTTACTAAAAATCGCTAAATTTGTTCGTTGTTACAGTATTATGTCGCAGTTCTGTATAAGTTTGATAAAGCGTGTTAGATGCACGTGATTTGTGCACCAAATTGAACTATGATATTTGTTTATTACTAAACAAATTAATGTTATAATTTTGATAATTAATTTAGCTGTTTTACATACATTGACGTTTTCAGCATAATATCTTAAAGGAAAACTCCTAAACCACGACGTCGTCTTATTTTCTAGGTATTCATTGGTACGGACACCGGTAGGATATCCCCGCACATGTTCTACCAGGCGTGCAAAGTCAGCGGCAAAAACTCCACACCCTGTACGGAGCGAAAGATCGACGGCACGTGCGTCATAGAGCTCCAGCTAGATCCAGCGAAAGACATGAGCGCCACCTGCGATTGCGTAGGGATACTGAAAGAAAGAAATGTCGATGTGGAGCACAGGTTTCCGGATCAATTGGGCAATCGGAGCAAGAAAAAGTCGACGAAATGTAGAATGATCTTTAGGACTACTATTACATTAGACGACGGAACGATAGAGACCTTGCAAGTGTGTTCACAGCCAATAGTTTGCAGTAAGTTTTTTTTTATATAGTTCAGAAATTAACTACGGTTTACAAAATATCAAAATAAACGTATAAGTAAAATTGAAGCGGTATCTAGAAGAAGGGCCTATCTGCCAAAAGTGTATTTTGAGAAACAAGCATGCAAAGATTTAACATCCATGCCTAAGGCGAACCAACACTTGCATTGTGTTTTAGTTTTAAGAATTTTCGATCCATTGATAAAATAATATAGAACACCTTTATAAAATATGTCCTTTTTTTCTTTTCAAATGAAGAGTATTTAAACAAGTTTACACAAGCCCTTCTTCTTTTTTTATTTTACAAAATAGTCGCATCAACCTCTGAGGTTATTAGCGACATATATACATATGCATAAGACCAATTTATTCACAAATGTTAGATTTTGTCGATCGGATTGCGTTATCTGATCGGCCTATGGTGGAGCAGTACGGCAAGAGATAAGGTTTGCGGCTCGGTGATACTCCTCCATAGATCCCTACCGGAAGCGTGTGCCGCCTAAATACCGGGTATATATATATATATATATATATATATATATATATTATATATATATATATATATATATATATATATATAGATTTTGTTAAATACTTTGATATCTTTAAGGAATTTTACCAAATGTTCAATTTTACAATTTTCTCCTAAGATTTCACTTGTTGATCCGATGATGTGGTTGTTCTGTCTCTGCAACTGGTATCTTGGGCACTCTACAAGTACATCCTTAACACTTTAACAATTACAGTTTATACATAAAGTGGGATTAGTGTGACCAATTATGTGTCCGTGGGTAAGTCGGCAGTTCCTGGCTTGTTGGGCTGTTCGAGTCGCTTCTTCATTTCCTTGAAGGCCAATGTGTGAAGGAACCCATAGGAATTGTACAGTATAGTTATTGATATAATTTGATATAAGGTTGAATGCTCGAATAAATGAACTTTGTTGGTACAACACTTTACTAAAAAGTGTTCTACCAACGTAAAAAAACCGTTAATAAAATTGGTAGACTGACAGAGAACAACATAAAGAGTTCAATGCTATGTTCTCCGGAAGAGCCCATAGGCCTAGGAAGAGCCTTTTTTCTAGCCACCGCCTCAATTCTAGTTAATTTCCTTGAAATATAGTAGATAAATTCCATGAAATAATTATTTTTCGTTCACAGCACAACCTCCTGGCATTCCCGAGATCTGCAAAAAGTCTCTAGGTTCATGTCCGGCCAGCGGAGGTCTAGAGTTGTTTGTTCTTGGTAAAAACTTCCTCAAAGACACCAGAGTCGTGTTCCAGCAGTACGAAGAAAACCACATCAGATGGGAGCAAGCCGTGGTACCCGATAAAGAATATCTGCAACAGGTAAGGAATTTGTAGCTGTTAAAAAGACAGATTTTAGAAGTTTAGAGTTTCTCTACCATATCAAAAGCGGTATTAAAGTCTATAAAGAGTCTCAAGGTTTTTTTTGTTGCAGACACATTTCGTATGTGTAGTACCGCCTTATCGAAGAACCGACATCACCGTACCAGTGGCGGTGAGGTTATGCGTCATATCTAGCGGTAAAACATCTGAAACTCATCAGTTTGTATATACACCCGTTAACGGGGTACCTAGCGGTAAGCTTACACTATGTTACTTTGGGCAAATCTCTTTGAAAACGTGGTTTATCTCGATATTTATCTACTCTATGAATAATAACACTTTCCAGTCCAGAAAAAACGTTGTAAACGTATTTCGAAAGACAGTAATGTTGGAGATTCAGTATAATTTATATACAAATTAGATATAATTCAATTCAAAACCACAATATGTGTTGGTACGTAATTTTTTATAATCAAGCATCAATTTATGTGAAAATATTATCGACATAAGCCAACGTTGACAGATCTAGGCATGTGATGCATGGATTTTGAGAACGAATGACTGAAATAAGCATTATTAACGAACTCCCCTATACCCATTTGATTTATTCCTAATTTTTTATATATTAAGTCAATAAAATAGAACCTCCAAAAGTTTACTACGATTAATAATGCTACTTTCAATGAGTGAAGGTGAAAAAATATCATAAGAGGCAATATTTGTAGTCCCTTTTGTATAAAAACTTTTAAATCATTGTTTTAGTGATAATTGGGACAGAAAAACACACTTTTTTATAGTACGTTAATTAGAAGTATTGAATCATCATATTTGTATCATACAAGATAAATACTATTTCCTAAAAAATACTAAAACTAATTTTGGTATTTTCAATTTTTTTATGAAATTTAAGTTTTTAACTAACCTATCCTATCTTAACCTTACAAATATTTATAATCTTACTTGAAATTACCTTAAAAATGTTCTAATGCTTCAACTAGAAGAAAATATTTCACATTTCTCTGTTATTGCCTTACTTGTGTTTGTTTTATACTGCATTAAACAGTCTAGAGAATTTAAGCTGCTAAACTTTTCTTTGGCTTCTGGAGAGTACTCGACTTCAACGAACCCTAATGTATTTAAGGAGCCTTTGGAACAGTCAGTACTGACTGAATTGATTTAGAATTAATCTTAAATTATTCAGTTACCTCTAGGAGACCTCAAATTCCTGGAGCGGTCCCAAACTTTCTTGATTTTACACATTTCTTGTCGTATTTCTTAGTTTTGTTCTAATTCTAGTTTTTTCGTACTATTTATACCCTTATTTTACTTATATACGTAAAATTTTTACTCTTCGAGTTTTTTTGCCGACATTAATAACAGCATTTACAAAAATGAAACTAACAGAAACAGAACGAATCCTGATTTTAATCATGATATAGAGTGAGGACTCAAGCAGAAGTTCGTAATTTATTTAATGCTAAATACCGCAATCGCGAACCAATTACTCAATCAACAGTTATTAAAATTAAAAAAAAATTAGAAAAACGAGCCATGTTAAGGATCTTCACAGAAGTGGTAGGAAATCAATATCCGAAGCCAAGAAACTGGACGTTGTACTGGCGTTTCAAGAAAACCCCCATACCAGTTTTAATCAGATCGCACTAGATAGTACTGTCCACCAATCAACTGTTGTAAGAGTGCTAAAAAAGGAGAAGTAGCATCCATACAAAGGTCATCTGGTCCAGGAGCTATTAGAAGATGACTTTGATAGAAGAGTCGAATTCTGCGAAACCGTTATGGAAAAATGTAACAGAGATCAGGGTTTCATACAAGAGGTACTTTTTTCTGATGAAGCGTCTTTTATGCTGAACGGTCACGTAAATCTCCAGACATATCCATACTGGTCAAGTGAAAGTCCACACTGGATGGAAGAGTATAGGACACAATATCCCGAGAAGGTGAATGTTTGGGCCGGCATTATAAACAATCACATTTCAGGGCCATATTTTTTTGAGTAAAAGTTACCTGCTTCTCGTTATCTAGAATTTCTTCAGGATTATCTGTTGCCACAGCTGAATCAGCTATTTCCAAATAGCAATGATTTGTGGTACCAACATAATGGGGCTCCCCCACACTACGACGTTGAGCTACGAAAGTACCTTAATAACGTTTTCTCAGGTAGGTGGATAGGTAGAAGGCGGTCCATCGAATGGCCACCAAGGTCTCCAGATTTGACTCAGTTAGACATTTTTTGTGGGGATATTTAAAGAGCAGAGTGTATCAAAATAGACCGAATAGTGTAGAAGAGTTGAAAGAGTGCATCACAACAGAACTTGTACAAAATAACACCTGAAGTCATCGAAAACGTTAGGAAAGAATTTATTGCCCTTCTTTCACATTGTATTATTTCTGAAGGTCGTCAATTTGAACATGTGTTGTAATTTAATTGTATTTAAGTAAGCATTTATTGCAAGTTAATTGTATTAATAAACCAACAGTTTTGGTTAGCCCTGTAGAAATAAATATTCAAATGAATATATCGTTGCAAAGGCGATAAGCAGACCTTTCAAATGAGCAAAAATTACGTGTTTTAAGATTTTTTTTTAAAGTCGTCTGTTTCTGAAATAATGAATTTATTCAATACATTTGCATCATACTGTATAGTGTTTCAAAAGTGTCATGACCTTGTGCGTCATGTCTTGTTTTATACTGGTCGGAACCTAAAATTTCCAAACTTGCCTTCTGTGGAATAAAATAGTGCAGTATTGTCTTCTCTCCTTCTTCTTCTCGTTTTATATTGTCCAATGGACTCTTTCCTTTTGGTAAAGAGCCAAGTATCGTCTAATATTGTTTACTGAACTGATGTCTAAACATGAAAATGAATGAGCCACATGAAGTAGACCAATATGATGCAAAATAACAACACTTACAACCTTTTTCGGAAGTTTATTCTGGATGTAGGAGTTGTAAGGTCAGAATATCGCTATGCATTTAAGATCAGGTTCCTTTAAAACAAGAAATTTCCTCTAATTTTGCAGCAATCCTTATTCCTTACACATTTAAACGCTCAGTCTTCTTTTGTTTTAAAAATGTTTGCACAATTCAACATTTGAATAATTTATAGTGATAATGCTTAAAAAAACAAAAATATGCCGATTAGAAAACCAACAGGAACTTTTTTCACCTTATACATTGTTTTAAATAATAGGGCGGCAAATGTACGCTAAAGTGTGAGTGAAATAGCCGAGTCTGGTACTTCTGCGAGGATTGGCGCGAAAGAAACGAACGCATGCTTCTTATAAGCTTGCGAAAGTTGGAGAGAAAGGCAGCTTGTTGGATGTAGTAGTGTCACATTTGCCCCAACGTTTTTACAGATAGCTGGGCTACGTTATCCTCCCGTTTTGAAATCCTTTTATTTTTATTTAGTGATTTTATTTTGTTTTGGTGCCAAATTTGATTTTGCTGTCGATAACGTAGCCCTACGAACAATTTTGCAGTGGCTTTGGAGCAGACAATTATTTGATCTTGTGCCTTTTTTGTCTTTTATTTAGGATGAAACCTCCGTTACAACGAAAAAAGATCAATTTTTTTATTTACGTACATTTTTTAGCTATTTCCAGTTTGTTTTATGTTGTGTTTACAATGTGAAATGTAACTATATAACTGTGACATGTATTTTTAAAACGAGCTTACTATTGAAATGTAATTTACTTAACTTATGTTTTGTATGTGATATTTTTTTTGTCACTGGAGCTGTTCTTGCCAAAGCCAATACCTTTCTATTAGTTACTTCTTATTGTACTGCAAATTTTTTTGACAAAACGAATCAACTGATCATTTGCAACAATATTTTTGTTAGAAGCACATACTATGGTATTTATTAACGGGAATGATTTACGTTCTAGATCGATTCTTTACTTCGTTTTTAATGTTCAGAGGTTCGATGACATTGTTTAGCTTCGTATTTCTCCTAACGTTCTTTGACAATGTTGCTTTTATTTCTCTTGACATGAAAATCTCCTCTTCTGTTATATAAAAATTTGTGACATGGAATTCACGTTCTATATTGCTCTTTAACTTCGTTTTTTAATGTGCAACGGTTTAATCACCTTGTATAGCTTCGTATTCCTCCTGCTGGCGGGAAAAATTTCTACTTTTAGTCTAGAAAAATTGTGAGGCATTTGAAATCCGAAACATTCCGAGAGTATAAATCTAGAGGAAGGTTATGTCTTTTCCTCATTTGGAACCAAGCAGACGCGACACGCACGAATGCTACTCTTACCATCCATAGGAACGTTTAGATTTCTGGTCAGCGTACTTTAGGTAATTGAAATAAGGTAGGTTTATTTTTCATTTTTTTACTTGTTTTCTACTTCTTCACTTTGAAGTTAATGTAGTATCTCATTCCAGTGTTTCGGCATTCCGCGTTAAGATTTTGATGTTTTCTTTGTTTCCAAAACACCTTTTTCTTTTGTTTTTTTATAGTTTCTGTTGGTCTCTTTTACTTTATATTTTTTCTCACCAAAATAATTTTCGGACCAAATTTATTCGTTGTGTAATAGTTCATATTTTTGTTTTAAGTCCATTTATCGCTTACCTTATTATTTCCCATTTTTTGGTGAGCAACTTTCTAAATATTGATTTAATCTTTTTGTCATGTTATACTGCTGTTAAACATGTCATTTGTCATTATTATTTTAACTCTCTCTTAAGTTTCAGATATCCGTGAGCCGATGTAAGAATATTTTTAACAAAGAAAATAACAATTTTCATTTTTTGGTGTACTACAAACTCATATATGTAGTAAACAACAGTTCTGTTTGGTAGCTACGTCTCTTGTCACTTGTCACGGCCTGTATTAGTTTTAATTGATTCCGATAACCATGAGCTTAAAATTAGTTCTTTCGCAAAGAGTACTACGACCTTACTCTTCGTTCTGAAGAATTATATGTTGAAGAATCCTAAAAGTATCCATGAAATACTAGAAAAATCGACACTGTCCTGTAATAATACTGACACGAATGTCACTTGTCATTATTTTAAGTCTGTCTAAGTTTCCAATATCCGTGAGCTCGTGTAGGAACATTTTTGACAAAGAAAATAACATTTTTCACTTTTTGGTGTACTTCAAATCCATATATCAAAATCGCAGTTGAAGTATACAACAATATCTACGTCTCCTGTCACATGTTATACTCTTTATTAGTTTTGACTGATCCTCGATAAGCCTGAGTCTAAAATCCGTCCTTTCACA